ATGATGAGGATGATGATAATAATAATAATAATAACAATAATAATGATAATACATTCTCGAAAAAATATTATGGCCCTTATGACAGGCCGAGGCCGTCTAATCTGATAAGATGTTGGTCGTGATTTACATCATAATATATACGCCAGACTGTGGCCTGCGCAATCAAATGATGTGTATGGTTTTTGGAGGATCGGATCAAGTTATGCCAAAGTGGTGGGCTCCGTCCTTTAATATTGTCAGGTTATGACAAAGTGGTAGCTTTGCCATTTGTCAGGTTGTGACAAAGTGGTGAGCTCCGTCCTTTGTCAAATTAAGACCAAGTGGTAGCTTTGACACATGTCAGGTTACACCAAAGTGGTAGTTTTTTTTCTTTGTCACGTTGTGCCAAAGTTGTAGCTTTGTCCGCTGTCAGGTTGTGCTAAAGTAGCTTTACCCCTCCCCATCCCCCCCACCCAACCCCCCTACCTCCCTGCCACGAATCCACACCCCCTCTCAAAATCACAATGAAAGAAAATGTGGGTGCCCTCAATTGCATAATCCGCATCAAGCTGGAAATTAAAGAAACTTTCTGCGGTGGCCACTGATTATTAAAGTCAAAGGTTTTACGCAACAATCAAACGCTTATCGTTATGCTGGTCTAAATCAAACTAGAAAGGCAGAACTTTAAAGAAGACCAACCCCCCACCCCCACACCAAAAATCAAAAACTAAAACGCCAACAAATAAATAAAAGTGCAATTATTGCTTGAAAAGGCGTCTACAACTACATGTATGGCGTTAGGAGAAAAAAAAAAGAGAATAAATTTTAAGGTAAGACCCCCAAAACTAACTTGAAACGCAGGGGATGAAAAACCTTCACGAAGGCGTGAACCGTTCCCTGTTCTTCATTCTTCAAACTTGTCGTGGCCTTTGACTTTTAACTTCAGTTAGGGGCAACACTTTAATTTGGAGCATAATATATATTTGGAAAGAAAATGTCTACCTCAAACATTGGCCGCTAAATGTACCTCCAAAGAGAACCGTTCAACTTAAAAGAAAAACAATAACCGAAAAAAAAACCCGTCTTGAAAAGCATGGCAACTTACCAGTTTACCAGATGTATTGTCTTCTCAGAGTTTTTAGCTTTGTTTCTTTCTGTCTTCCTCAAACTGCACGAGCCAAGTATATTACTGTAAATGGCCACAGCCCACTAAATACCGTGCACCAAAAACCTTTTTTCCCTTCTTTTGTTGGCGTTTTTGCTCAAATTAGGGTTGCTCGGGGCAACACGTTTCAGGAAAGAGGAATATTTATATTAATATTTTATACTAAAATTCCACTTTGAAAAGCCAAGGGCAACAAGTTCTTCTAGTGAAGGCAGTCAATTTGAAAACACATTTACGTCCCTTTGTCGGTTCCCTTTTCTGTTTCTGAAGTTCCCGGCTCTCTGCTTGTTTTCCAAATGATAATATTCAAGTTTTCTTGTATTTGCAAAATTAGAAATAAGTTTTCGTGAATGTGCTGTCCATAAAGATTGTGACATCTAGATGAACATTCATATTTGTGTGTGTGTGTGTGTGTGTGTGTGTGTGTGTGTGTGTGTGTGTGTGTGTTATAGAACTTTCCTATATTTTAAATTATTTTGTATAGGACTTCCCTATAAATTTTTCTTAAAGAACTTGTCTCTGTTTTTTTTAAAGAAGAACTTTTCCTATTACGTGTTTGTTAAAATCAAGTCCTCTGTTCACTCTTTCTATTTTGGAAAGTACAGGGTGATCCAAAAAAAACACCTTTACAACTTGTTTTGTAAACATCTTCTTCCATACTGAAGTTTTGCGTTTCAGATTTGAACTTAACGTTTGGAAGCCAAAAGGAATTTGTCTGATATGTATTTTAGATAAAGTCCATTGAATGGTTTTGCTCTATATGGCGCATTAAAAAAACAATCCATTTTCAATATTGTCGCCATTTTCATAGCAAGACGCACCAGTTCGCATTAGGCCTACCACTAAAAGATGCAACAATCGCGCCATATTGTAAGCTACAACAGTCTAACAAGTCAACAGAAGTTTGCTTATATTATTTTTCCCAAATTTCGTTTGCCTGTTTAGATCCTGGTTACGTTTAGTAAAGAGCAGAGAGCTTTTTGTATTGAACATTACCTCTCCACAAACTCACCATCCCTGACATTTTGTAAGTTCTGCGCACGGCATGGAGAGAATGCTTGGGTGCCCTCAAGACCTTTGGCGTCATGAGTAGAGAAGTTCCGTCAGTTTGGATCTACAGCGAATCAGAACTTAAAAGTTCTTTAAAAAATGACCACTTCAAGTCGAACACCCACCATGCGCAGCACTTTAAGCGTCACCAGAGTGCAGATTTCAGTAGCCGAGTCCCATGAGACGCCTGTCCGTGGAAGATCTGCAGCTAGGACTTTCCTACACATCAACAGTCTGCATTCTCATGGCAGATCTTAACCTACGACTATACCATGTTCATCTTCGCTAGGCCGAGATGACATGGATCAGAGCAAGGCAAAGTGTTCATGATTCCTCGATTGTCTTGTAAAGAGGGATAATTTCCTCGATGACATTTGGTTTAGTGCAAAGCCCATTTTCACCCCGCGGGATATGTTAACTCCAAAAATGCTGTCTATTGGGCACCCCACTCTATTGTCTCTAGTATGCCACTTTTTAGTGTGTGGGGCTTTAAAAACTCATGGTTTAGCAGGTCCTCGTGTTAGGGCGCCACTGAACATTTCGAACGACGCTTTAAAAATGTGTCGAGTCCAAAGGAGGGAATGTGGAGCACTGCTTCTAGGAATTTCAGAATGAAATCACTAGGTTTTTTAAACTCTGTAAAAGAAATTAAATACTGTTTAAATGTCACAGGGATGGAAAATTAATGTCAAGGAGAAAATAAAGAAAAAGGTCAACTAATCTTTTCACGACTTCCTTTACAAGATTTTTAAACATTGGTGAACTTTGCGTTTTTGTGTGCTGTTTTTCTTTTTTAGCCATTTCCGTTTTCAAACCATAATTCTTCTTCGTGGATTTTATATCAAACAAATTTCTTTTGAATGAATTATATCTCTTTCAAATTACAGCATTCTGGAACAATTTTTGCGCGAGATATTTAGAAATAAAGTTTTAAAGTTTTTTTTGGATCACCCTGTATATTATTGTGGCATCCCTCCCACCCTTGTCACTAGGTACCTACATCCCTACTTTACGACTAATTCCATCCCCCCCCCTCTCTATCCAGTTACGTAGATGATTGTAAA